TGAACCATCAAAACAGTGGTGACCATCTGAAAAAAAATTATATTTGATTTGTCAGCATAGCATGTAGCAAGAGCAACTTTTAATGAAATAAATAGTTTTTGTTACAATGTGTGATCCATGTTGTATTTGATGTGTGCACTGAAGGAGAATATTTTAATGACATTTAGATGAGAGATTGTATTCAACAACTTTGAAGTTTTGATGGAAAGGTTTGTGTGTGTTGCTGGAGGCCAATCAGTTTCCAATTAAACTGCATTAAAATGGCAGCCTAGATTACATATTCATATATGCACAAATGAATTTATAATATGCATCTGCTGATGAATAATGATTTTTTAAAATGTATTTAACCAATATATTATCAGGGAAACCCCACTGAGGTTAGCAACCTCTTTTACAAGGGTAATTGATAAAATACAGTACATTACTACTGTTAAACCTTTTTGTAATTGAAAGACATTGTATGTTGTTAATTAGAAAGAGAAAATAGCTCTTTATGTTCCTACTTTCTTCATACACTGAAGAATTTATTACATGCTCACATAGAGGTTGCCTTTCTTGTTTAACACTTGCAAGGGGGCTCACTCCCTTGGTGAGAGTTCAAGAGAGTGAGCCCCAAGTTAAGGCTGTCATACATTCTTAGGTTTCTATATCAAAGCCAATTAGAATATCCCATAGCTAAGCTTTACACAAAGACGATAATAACAAGTTACAAAATGGCAATCAGTCAAGCAAGAGAGAAAATAAAGGACCTCTCTCCCTACTAGGGTTGCAACGGTACGAGATGTTCATGGTATGATAACCGTCTCAGAAAATATCACAGTTTCACAGTATTACACAGTTACTATTATTATCACTTACAATAATCCTCAAAGGAATGAAAACAAAAGGGTTGTTTTTTTCCAAAACGACCAGTGTGCTAGTTTATCGAGTTGGACGGCAGCGCTAGATTGACCATGAATCATAAACATGTTAGTCTGCATGTTAGCACCAGTATAGTAGAGGAAGTAATCACCTCCTTTAATTAAGGAAAAGTATTAATATTACACTGTAAAAGTAGCCTATTCTGTTATAAGTAAAAGTCCTACATTGAAAATGTTAAGTATTTTCACATAAAATGTACTTTAAAATAATGTAAGTATTAAAAGTAGAACTAGGTTACTCAATCCAGAAACATTTAATACTATATGTCCTACACTGTTACACTATTATTTATTACATCAACAGCCTATCACCCATGAACTGATGTAGAAGCAGGATTTTACTGTTGTAGTTGGCACAAAGTTGTAGATCTTTATTGTATCCAAGTGCAACTATTGATTATTTTCATTATGGATTAACCTAGTGATTATTCTCTCTTTTTAGTCGATTGACTGCTTTGTAAAATTTCTGACGATAGTGAAACATATGGTCACGACACTAAATGGTTATCAAAATAGTTGCTAATTTGCTGTAGTGGGCGACAGTACAGCCAGACTGATCCTGTCTGTACCTTCCTTCACACACAGTGACTTCTGTCAGCCCCAGAGCAAGAAAGGTTTGCACGCATGTTTCTGGGCTCAGATCAGGATCAGTGTGAGTCCTGTTGTTAAGTCAGAGATTAATATGGAAAATTATTTTGATAGCGCATTTTATGACCAATCTTTATAAGCTCATGCGTTTCATCTTTTGGGATTAAAGTTATAAATGGGACACATACGTTGATATGCACAGAGGGATGGAAGGTGGTCGTTTCTGCTAAGTAATCCTGTGCTGCTGATTTGAATTTCTTTTTTGATGGATGAGTATGGTGATATCAGCCTCCTCCTCGCTGCCATTTATCCACTGCATGTGGTGTGTGTGTGGCACCCATTGCAGAGTCTGACAGGCAGTAGGGGATGAAAGGTGCACACACATTGCATTTTTTCTTCAATACCAGTAATAAACAAATATGCATGGTATGATAACCATTCTTTTGTTTTTTGTTTTTTTTTAACCACAGTATACCATAAAACCAGTATACCGTTGCAACCCTACTCCCTACTGTAGCTACATTTTAGTTTGTTTTAGGGAAACAAACTTATCCTGCCTTATCAATTTGAGAAATTTAGCATGCTTCTGCAGAAATAACAAGATACTTTATTAATTTGTATGAGCACACAGTCTAAACTTAGTCTACATCCAGTGAGACAACCTGCTAACTTAATGCATTAAAATAAATCAATGACTGAATCATTTATTTTACCTTCATAAACACTGTGTGAATGTAATTCAGTTTATCAGTGTGATTTTATTGTGAAACACAAAGCAAGAAATCAGATGGAGATGTTCCACAACAAATCGCACATAGAAATGTGTCTTTTCAGAGAAATCTGTTGCAGTTATAAAAATTAATATTAAATAAGGTGGGTAAAATTCAGATATGCTGTTTGGGAAACCACCGTTTTTCAGTCACCTTTCTTCTACGGCAAAATATCCTATGATGATACCTAAAGTAAAAAAAAAAAATCTGTTTTAAACTAGCTTTAAAGACATTTAAATCAGGTACAACAATTACAAATAGGTGCATAAATAACATGTAAATGCAGCTCATGATACGTAACAAATACCCTGCAGATGTCCCGATTAATCTTGTTACAGGCATCACTAGTTTAAGTGAAGTAGGTAAAGTTAGTCTGAGCTCACTGTACGCTGCTGTCACTCACGATTCAGTTACAACGATCAAGTCAGTGTCTAGTTATTTGTTTTATGATGGCCTGATCACAACAAAAACAGCTGTACAGCAAAAGTTTAGGCACCCTTTGATAAATAACAGATTTTGGTGATTTTTTATTTGAACAGATGTTAACACAGTTTCTCTTGGAAATGGAAAAAATGCACAATATTTTCTGCAAACAGTGATGCATAGTTACTTCTTATGCCATAAATTGAACAAAAATAAAAAATAAAAACATTATTATGGCATGGTGCAAAAGTTTGGGCACCCTAAGAGTTCCAGAGTCTCAAAGTCTCTCACAAGGTTTCAGACCTTAATCAGCGCGTTAGATCTGATGCACAGCAACAGCTGTCATTGGTAAATGCCAATTTCAAAGCTGTACAAATACCTTGACTCTTCAAACCTTGTGCACACACTTGTGGACACCCAGCAACCATGGGTTCCTCTAAGCAGCTGTGTAAGACCCTGAAAATGAAAGTTATTGATGCCCACAATGCAGGAGAAGGCTACAAGAAGATAGCAAAGCGTTGTCAGCTTGCAGTTTCCACAGTAAGAAATGTAATTAAGAGATGGCAGATCAGGGGAACTGTGGAGGTCAAGATGAGATCTGGAAGACCAAGAAAACTCTCGGACAGAACTGCTCGTATGCTGGTCAGAAAGACAAATCAAAACCCCCATTTGACTGCAAAAAACCTGCAGGAAGATTTAGCAGACTCAGGAGTGGTGGTGCACCGTTCCACTGTGCAGCGATGCTTGCACAGACAAGGCCTTCATGGAAGAGTCAGCAGAAGAAAACCTTATCTGCGTCCCCATCATAATAGGTGTAGAAAGTGGGTTGTGCATCTTTAACAGGTTGCACACTCCTGCGGACTGCAATCAGTTTTTGGTGGAAACAGGTACAGTGATTACAATACAGTTTTAATCCTAGTTATCTAATTTTTTCCTTTAACTTCACAACACATAAACACTACTCTGAAGACGCATATTATTTGGTGTTCAAATATTAACCTGCAGACCCCTGATGATGATGATATCAGTATTGCAGACTAGTGCAGAATGCATGGTGGAGAAGTATGGCGATGAGGAGACATGGCCATCCCTCCTGGTAACTTTCTAAGAATTTCTGCAGCACATCCAACCAAGATGCCATGATGCCCATTACAATTATGGATTTGGCTGTAATATTTATGCTAAGTATACTATCAAAGGTCTTATTTAACTATCTGCAACACATGGATGATATAACTTGCTTTGCCAACCTACATGACTGGAGAACAAGATAGATATACATATGTAATGTTAGGCTAACGTTAACTAAAATAACAATCAACTTTTCACATCCTGCCAATTCAATTACCTTTGTAAATGAGTTCAAAGAATGCTCCTCACTTGAGGAACCAACCGGCTGGAGAAAGGAGTGGGAGCAAGTGGGATATGTAAAATCAAGGTCAAGAGTTGGTTTACCAATCACCGCCATTGTCCCTTGAAATGACATTAAAGCTACGCATTTATCAATCATCCCGAATTGGTCAAACTCTTCTTCTTTTTATTTAGCAGGAAGACCTATGGGTTAGACACTTGTTGGGGTAGACTAACAAATGGTCAAACTCACAAGGTGTCACTGGCTTTTTGTGTAGAGTGACAAATTGTACTTTGATATTACAAATGCATACAGGTTGACAAGTCTGCTATATCAACTACAAAAATGCTCAGACCGCAAGTCATGCTTGCTTTGTGTTAAGACTTTTCAGGCAACACTCAAGAATGCAACAACGCATCAAATGAATTTTGCACAGCTCAAAGCATCTGCATTTTGCGTGGATCATGTCTGGTGGCCTAAGGCACGAGATTAATACAGCTGTAAAATGTGTTAATTATACTGTATATTCATTCATTTTCTACCGTTTAGTCCCTTGCGGGGTCACGGGGGGGGGCCGGAGCCAATCCCGGCCGGCAATCGGGCGAAGGCGGGGTACACCCTGGACAGGTCGCCAATCTATCGCAGGGCCAACACACAGACGAGCAACCACACACACGCACATGCACTCCTATGGGCAATTTAGAGACACCAATCAACCTAAGCTGCATGTCTTTGGACTGTGGGAGGAAGCCGGAGTACCCGGAGAGAACCCACGCAAGCACGGGGAGAACATGCAAACTCCACACAGAAAGGTCCCAGGTGGGGCCCGAACCCGAAACCTTCTCGCTGTGAGGCAACGGCGCTAACCACTGCGCCACCGTGCTGCAGTGAAAAGTCTTAACACGTGAAAAGTCTTAACACAATATACTGTATACTGTATAATCCTTGCCATTTAGAAACTGAGGTTTGGGGTTTCATGTTTAAAATGATGAAATGTAATCAGTAGGATAAGAAAAACCTAATAAACAAAAAGATTCAGGTATTATCGCTGGATATTTACTCAAACAATCCTCGTTTATCATTTGCTTGCCTGTAGCTAACCTTATGACAGAGCAGAGAAACCAAATGAGTCACAAAACCAACTACTAAACAAATTCAGCACAAATAAACTCTGTGCTAGAAATAATATAATCACAAGTCTCAAGTGAGCGAAGGTGCATTATATAAAATCCTGAGCCTAAATACAGGAGCCAGTTGCTTTTGGCTGACTCCCCAAAAAATGGACAGTTAAATTACATTCATCATCTTTTCTCACTGACTGGAAGACAACTATTAATCTCCATCTCTCAATTTCTGCTTCAACTGCTTGTGGTTTAGATTTTCGTAGTACTCACAAGCACTGGCTGGCGAGAGAGAGGACCACACAGTCGGCTGGCTTCCTCTCCTCCTGCACCTGTCTGTAGAACTTCTGATAAAGGGCTTTACGTCTGTCTGCTGGGGTACAGCTCTCTGGCTTGGCTGAGGGTTTGAAGGAGGGGTAGAGGAAGCAGAGGTAAATGGAGACAGAGCAGAGAGAGAGGGGAAGATAAATGAGAGCAGATTTTTGCAATAAGCAATGCATTTATACAGACTGCAGCACAATGGAATGGTATTTTAACATTCTTTGCATTTCATTAAACCGCACATTGAGCCACACCATAATTTTAAGTGTGCAAAAAGCGTAAACCAATGGGCTATTATTTTGCAAACAACACAATTATAATATTTGATTCAAAATGAATCATGAAGCATTTTCTGCAAGGATTTAAGAAGAAAAAAAAATGTCTTGGTGTTTGTACATATATAGTCTCACCATTTTGTTGATGCTTGTGTCCCTCATACTTCACACCTCCACTGTAGTTTTGCATTTGCTCCAGTTCTTCATAACTAAAACAAAAAGCAATGAAACATAAGCATCATATATAACATATTAATGGAGGAGGCATTTCGATGCCCGCTGTTCACTACATCATTATACATGATAAATTCAAATTTAAGATGTCATCAACACTGAGCAAGTTTCCAAAATTATGAGTCTATATCCAAACAGTTAAGTTTCTTTACAACCCTACAGTGAAACATTTTGTCTTGCAGCTTTTTGTGTAGGATATAAGGTCTTGATAAATCACAAATATTCCATTAATAACATGAAATTCAATTGAACCCTATAACCTAGATATGTTTCTTAAGGTTCAAATTGATACATCTACCTCCACAATTCAAAATTTTAAATTAACTAGCTCAGATTCCTTTTTTCCTCTCACATAGTTGTCAGTGGCACGGTTGTAACAGCATGAGAGTTTCATAGTATCTCCGAAAATATCACAGTTTCACAGTTTTATCACTGCTATTATTATTATCAGCTACAATGACAATCTTTTACAAGTAGAAGTACTGCATTGAAAATGTTTAGTAAATGTGTAAAATCTTAAGCCATTTTCACACATGAACTACAGTATGTCTGTGAATCAGGCCCAGCCATTGTCCTGTCCAGTGTTGCCCTTTCATACACGTAAGCATACAACAGGAGATAGTGTCAGACACATTCTCACCCACTGGAAATACTCCATTTGGTTAGGTGAGGAGAGGGGTGTCTGGGTAGAGTGTGCAGGAGGCATGACATGATGCGGTCACATAGCCAGTTTGTAATTTGGTCATAAACAACCAAGTTTCTTGTCATTCTTTAAATTTCTTCCAATATGACAATAGATGTGGGATTTTCAGATGTGCACAGTGGCTCCCCTAATGAAACGCCCCACAGAAACTGATGCTACTGATGCCTCTTCGAGTCACAGGCCAGATGCCATAATGCCAGATCCTGTGAAGCCTCAGAAAAGCCTCTGCAACCCTGCACCAGGTCCTTCACTTTCACTGGAAGACCTCAGCCCAGCCATGCTGGTTTCTTGGAGGCCCCAGCAGTGCCCCAGAACACCAGGTCCTTTGGAACCCCTGCAGTGGCCCAACACATCTGGTTCCTTGGGCCCCCTGCAGCACCCCTGCAGAGCCCCAGCCCAAGGATCCAGTCTTCTCACCCCAAAAGGGCACACACAAACCTTTCTGCCTGGACAGAGAGAAGAGTTGATGACTGTCAGCAGACAGGATGCTTAATATTATTATTATTATGACGTGTATAACTGTAGCCTTAGCCATATTATGTTCTTATGTTTAAGTCACGACATGTTACTAAAAGTCTGTGAGAATGTTTTTAGTTACACACCTCCTAATCAACAGACACACACACATTGATTTGCTTCATGTTTTGACTACTGCTATGGCCAGCTGCAATGCTGGTGAGAGAGATGTCTCGGTTGACGTTTCTGGGTAGTATGGGGCTAGCCCAAACGAGGGGATATAATGTATAGGCCTGGTGGGTTCAGGGTCTTTCATCTTACATCTGCCTGCGAGCATGGTGGAGGTGCAAGATACCTGAGCGTGTAATGTTAATTTTACCAGTGGGGGGTTGGAGGAGTCGGGTTACAGAAGCTTGATGAACGGCATTCTTCTCTATGGAGAGGAGAATGACTTCAGCCTCAATATAAACAAGACAAAAAAAATAATACACTTCAGGAAGAACCCCGCCCCTCTGCTGCCTCTTACCATCAAAGGGACTGAGGTGAAGAGGGCCACAAGTTCCTGGGCTTGGGAGGAATGACGTACTGAGTATTGCGAGATCGTGAGACAGCGCGGGGGTATTCAACATGGCGACGCACAGTCACTGAGAGTAAACAACACTTTGCTAGTTATTTTTTCAGACTTTATAACCCACTACTGGAATTACACGAGCAATCCATTGGAATCACAAGCTGTTGCCAATAACCTGAAGGGACCTTTCACATTTTGGAGGATTTATCGGACCTAGAATCTTTCATTGACCAATACTACATTCACTGCAGTATGGATACTACCAATACAGCCCAGAAAGACACCCCAAAGCCAAACAAACGGGAAAAGACCTCTTCTACAGATACAAGCGATCTACAGGTGACAAACATCGAGGTCAGTGTTCTTGCATCCATCAATAAAAAAACCTGATTTACTGGTCACACTTCATGAGGAAATAAAAAAACTCTGGTCAAGCCTTGAATTTACCTACAATTACATTGAAAAGTTAGAACAGTCAAACATATCTCTCCAAGCATCCGTCAAAACCCTCAGCAAAAAAATAAGACTTTGTCATGAAAGAAAACAATAATTAAATAAACTGTATTGGACATTCAAGCAATAAACATGCGTGACAACCTGATCTTTTCTGGCATTCCAGGACAATCACCCGATAACCCCGAAGCACTGGTTAAGGACTTCATGAAAAACAAACTCAAAATTCCACCGGATGCTGTTAATAAGATCACCTTTCACTGCGTACACCACCTTGGTCCACGTTCCAACAAAATACCCAGACCCATAATAGTGAAACTGGAACACTACAAACACAAAGAACTAATTAAAAGGAAAGGAAAGGAACTGAAAGGCGCAAACTTTGGATTCAATGATCAATTCCCACGTGAAATAAAGGAACGACAGAAAATCCTCTACCCCATCATGAAACAACATAGGTGGAACAACAAACGTGCAAATATCATTGTGGACAAATTATACATTGAAGGACAGCTCTATCACGACTCGAACATTACCCTGTGGCTCTTCTGATTTTTTACAGACTACCTACCAACCAGTGACTGCTACCTTTTTATGCAAAAAGGAAAAAGCATTAATTCCATCCATACTTAATCCTAGAGGCGAAATTGTCCATAATCTGCAAGATATTAATAACGTATTTCAAGCCTTCTATAGCAAATGTTATTCCCCCAGTTACAACCCAAATGCATCAGAAATAGACAATGTCTTGGACAATTTAGAACTGCCATCACTATCCAGAGCAAGATGACAGATTAGATGCTCCTCTCACCATCAACGAACTCCATAAAGCACTGATTTCAATGTCAAATAACAAATCACCCAGACCTGATGGACTACCAGCTGAATTTTACAAACACTTTGGGCAAATGCTATCACCACTGTTTCTCAATGTCACCACAGAAATTAAAGACACCTCCACAATACCAACACACACATGAATACAGCCATCATGACACTCTTATTAAAACCAAACAAAGACCCAATCCACCCTTCTAGTTACCGTCCCTTATTAATTCAGATTTAAAAATCATTATCAAAGCCCTAGCTACTAGAATAGAGACAGTTACTCCAATATTAATCCATCCAGACAAAACAGGTTTCATTAAAAATGGGAATGCTTCAGACAACATGCGTAGATTATTTAATTTGATTAATCTTGCACAACAAAAGCAAACCAAAACCATAACTTTAGCACTAGATGCAGAGAAAGCATTTGACAAAGTTAACTGGACATTTCTCTTCTGTACATTATGCAGGTTTGAGTTTGGAGAGTCGTTCATCCATTGGATAAAAATACTGTACATCTCACATAGGGTGACAATAAGTACAAATGGAATCAGGTTACAAAGTTTCACTTTACAGCCGGGTACCAGACAAGGATGCCCACTCTCACCATCTCTATTCACCATATTGCCACTCTCTGAGGATGCCTGGATTCTGCAGCTCAAAACTCCTTCCTCCAACTTTGCACAGGCAACATTAAATATCTTGGTATTAATATCTCTCCTAGGCTGTCAGAACTTTTTAACCTCAACTATACCTCTCTGCTAAAAAAAAAAAAAATAGAAGATGATTTTAAATGTTGGTGCAATCTTCCTCTCTCACTCATCGGCCGAATAGCTACTGTCAAAATGAAAACTCTACCTCAAATGAACTACCTGTTTACAATGCTACCCACAAATAAATGGTTTAAATCACTTGATTCTATAACTTCACAATTTTATTGGAAAAACAAGAAACCCAAAATTTCCTATCTACACTTCAAACAAAGAAATCACTCTGTGGCCCTGAAGCACCAAATTTCCAATATTACTACTCTAAGTCTCTGGATATTGTTGGGCTGTCTTGGTTGACACGCCTCTGCAACGTCGCATGGCGGTCGGGGACAGTGCCTCTGGACTGGCAGACCGGGATGGTGGTCCCTCTTTTTAAGAAGGGGGACCGGAGGGTGTG